AGTTCTGTTAAATTTGCTGAGGAATGTTTTACTTCCAATTATGTGATTTATTTTAGAGTAAGTGCCATGTGACATTGAGTAGAATGCATATTCTGTTGTTTGAGGATGGAGAGTTCTGTAGATATCTATCAGGTCCACTTGATCCAGAGCTGATTTCAAGTCCTGAATATCTTTGTTAATTTTCTGTCTCAATGATCTGTTTTATATTGACAGCAGGGTGTTAAAGTCTCACACTGTTATTAGAGACTTTGTAGGTCTCTAAGAACCTGTTTTATGAATCTGGGTGCTCCTATATTGAGTGCAAGTATCTTTAGGATAGTTAGCTCTTCTTGTTGAATTGAACCCTTGACCATTATGTAATGCCCTTCTTTTTATTTTTTGATCTTTGTTGGTTTAAAATCTGTTTTTCAGAAAAGAAGATTGCAACCCCTGATTTTTTTCTGCTTTCCATTTTCTTGGTAAATTATTCTCCACCCCTTTATTTTGAGCTGATGTGTGTCTTTGTATATAAGGTGGGTCCCTTGTATACAGCACACTGATGAGTCTTGACTCTTCATCCAGCTTGTCATTCTGTGTCTTTTGATTGGGGCATTTAGCCCATTTACATTTAAGGTTAATATTATTATGTGCGAATTTAATCCTGTCATTTTGGTGCTAGCTGGTTATTTTGCAGACTTGCTAATGTAGTTTCTTTATAGTGCTATTGGTCTGTGTACTTTAGTGTGCTTTTGTAGTGGCTGGTAATTGATTTCTTTTCCATATTTAGTGCTTCCTTCAGGAGCTCTTGTAAGGCAGGCCTGGTGGTGACAAATTCCCTCATTATTTTCTTGTCTAAAAAGGATTTTATTTCTCCTCTGCTTATGAAGCTTAGTTTGGTTGGATATGAAAATCTGGGTTGCAGATTATTTTCCTTAAGAATGTTAAGTGTTGACCCCCAGTCTCTCTGGCTTGTAAGGTTTCCACTGAGAGGTATGCTGTTAGTCTGATGGGTTTCCCTTGTAGGTTACCTGGCTTTTCTCTCTGGCTGCCCTTAACATTTTTTCCCTTCATTTTGACCTTTGAGAATCTGATGATTATGTGTATTGGGATCTTCTCATGGAGTATTTTACTGGGGTTCACTGGATTTCCTGTATCTGAATGTTTGGTCAGCCTTGCTAGGTTGGGGAATTCTCCTGGATGAAATACTGAAGTGTGTTTTCAAACTTGCTTCCATTCTCCTTGTCTCTTTCAAGTATGCCACTTAGCAGTAGATTCAGTATCTTTTTTTAAATTTATTTATTTAACTTTAGGTGCATACTATATCTGGCATTTCTCCCCATTTTATCCCTCCCCACTCTCTGCTGTCTCTCCCCTACCCCCGACAACTGCCCCAGTGTGTGATGCTCCTTTCTCTGAGTCCACGTGTTCTCATTGTTCAGCACCAACCTATGAGTGAGAACATGTGGTGTTTGATTTTCTGCCTGAGAATGATGGTTTCAACATTCATCCAAGTCCCTACAAAGGACATGAACTCATCATTTTTTAATGGCTGTGTTGTATTCCATATTTATTTATTCCATATTATATGTACCATATTTTCTTTGTGCAGTCTATCAATGATGGGCATTTGGGTTGGTTCCAGGTCTTTGCTGTTGTACACAGGGCTGAAATGAACATATGTGTGCATGTGTCTTTATAGTAGAATGATTTGTAGTTCTTTGGATATATACCCAGTAATGAGATTGCTGGGTCAAATGGAATTTCTATATCTAGGTCCTTGAGAAATTGCCACACTGTCTTCCACAGTGGTTGAGCTAATTAGATTCAGTATTTTTATATAATCCCATAGTTCTCAGAAGTTTTGTTTATTCCTTTCATTCTTTTTTCTCTGAGATTATTTCTTCCACTTGGTCTATTTGGCTATTGATACTGGCGGTTGCATTATGAAGATCTTGACTTGTGTTTTTCAACTCCATCAGGTCATTTATGTTCCTGTCTAAACTGGTTATTCTGGCTAATAGCTCCTGTAATGTTTTATCATTCTTTGCTTCTTTGCATTGGATTAGAACATACTCCTTTAGCTCAGTGAATTTTGTTATTACCCACCTTCTGAAGTCTACATCTGTCAGTTCATCCATCTCAGCCTCAGCCTCAGCCTCAGCCCAAGTCTTTGTCCTTGTTGAGAGGAGTTGAGATCATTTTGAGGAGAAGAGGAATTCTGGCTTTTTGAGTTTTAAGGATTTTTGCATTGATTCTTTCTCATCTTCATGCACTTATATATCTTTGATCTTTGAGGCTGATGACCTTTGGATGGGGTTTTGTTGAGGTCTTATTTATTGATGTTATTGTTGCTGTTGCTTTCTGTTTGTTTGCTTTTTTAACAAGCCTCTCTTTCATAGGGCTGCTGAAGTTTGCTGGGGGTCCACTTCAGACCCTATTCACCTGGGTCCCTCCAGCACCTGGAGGTGTCACCAATGGAGTCTGCAAAACAGCAAAGATTGCTACCTGTTCCTTCCTCTAGGAGCTTTGTCCCATAGGGGCACCAGCCTAATTACAACAGGAATGCACTTGTATAAGGTGTCTAGCGATCCCTGTTGGAAAGTATCAGCCAGTTAGGAGGCATGTGATTAGGGATCTGCTTAAGAGAGCACTCTAGCTGCCCCTTGGTGGAGCAGGTGCACTATGCCAGGGGGAATCCCCCTTATCCAGACTGACTGGCCTCTTCAGAGCCAGCAGACAGGAAAGACTAAGTCTGCTGAACCAGAGACCACAGCAATCCCTCACCCCAGGGGCTCCATCCCAGGGAGATCAGAGTTCTGTTCATAAACACCTGGCTGGAGTTGCTGAAATTTCCACAGGGAGGTCCCACTTGGTGAGGAGGAACAGATCCAGATTCCAAATAAAGAAGCAGTCTGGCCACAGTCTGCCAAAGCCACTGTGCTGTGCTGTGCTGTGGGGAATTCCTCCCTGTCCAAACTGCCCAGTCTGACACTGGCCAGGGAAAACAGCAGACTGGAGATGGAGTGATGCCTGCCCCCCTTCCCCACAGGAACTTTGTTGTCTGAGGCAGCAGACAGCCACAGTGATAGTGGCTGCCCCTCCCTGTAGGGAACTTGGCAACCTGAGTGGTTCTGTTCTTGGAACCCAAGACCCTGGTGATGTGGACTCATGAGGAGATCTTCTCATCTGCAGGTTGCACATACCTGTGGACAAAGCATGGTTTCCTGGACAGGATAGCACAATCACTCACCACCTTCCTTGGCTGGGAGTGGAAATTCCCCTTCCCCCTTGCAGCTCCCAGGTGTGCCACCTCTTCACCCTGCTTTTTCTTGCTATCTGTGAGTCGTGCCAAACACCTAGTCAGTCCCAATGAGAGAAACTGGACACCTCAGCTGTGTAGGTGTCACTTACCATTTTCATTCTTCTCAGTGGGAGCTGCTGACAGCAGCTGCTTCTAGTCAGCCATCTTGGCCCATTCCTGAAGACTTTCTTCTGTTTTTTTTTTTTTGTTTTTTTGTTTAGGATTTGTTCTCTTTTTTTTCTTAATAAATAAATAAATAAATAAATGCTCTCAGAACAACCATCAATTTATAATTGTATTTTTAAAAAATAATGAGCTCTGACTTTAAATATTAAAGCATGATATAATGTCAAAATCATGTAAACTTTTCTTTCATAATTAAAACCTTGTTAGATAAATCTAAGGAATAGAAAGCTCCCTATGAAGATTCCATGTCACTAATTTATATTAATTTACTTCTTATATATATTTGGCTTCTTAATTCAAATACTGGAAAATACAACAGAATTGCCATTGTTATTCTGTTATGTAATTGGTATCTGGTTCTAGATTTGAAATAGGCAATTTTCAACCAGGAATAAAAAAAGAACACAGAGAGATAAATGTTTTGAGGATTCACAATGCATCAGACACTTTTATGAACATTAAAAAAAATACAATTTCATTTAATTTGCAGCAACCCTAACAGACAGATGGTAGTATTAATGGTTTTTTTGAAGTATGGAAATGGGGTGCAAATATGTTAAGCAACTTGATTGAGGTCACAGTTAACAAGCAGTAGACTTAATATTGAAACTCAGCCTTGGTTCTTATTAATACCCCATTAAGCCTAACTGTTACAATTGCTAATCCTTCTCAACACATCTAATATCTGAAAGAGCAAGTCTTTATACCCTCTGCCCATCATTATTTTGTTCAGAATTATCTTGAATATTCTCATTAACAATATTGGCTAATTTTTGAGGTTTTGATAATAATACTTTTGGTATTTTGATTGTGCTTACAATGAATTCATAAATGCATTTGGGAGGAAGTGACAGCTTTACAATATTAATACTCCTATCTGGGATTATTTTGTGCTTATTTAATTTATTTTTATACCTTGGTGCAAAATAATTATGTTTGTTCTTAAGAGTTTCTGGGATGTATTACTATTATAACTAGTAATTTTAAAAATTCCCATTACAGTTTGCACTCACTTATTGCTGATATACATGTGATTTATTGATATTTGTATGTTTATATTTTTCCAATCACCTTAACAAGTTCTATCATTAGTTTTGAAAAGTAATTAACTCCTCTGGAATTTCCTCTTCTAAAATTTTCTGCTATTTTGAAACATTAATTTCCACCTCTTCTGTTTTTTTATCCAGAGGACCAGGATGTTTCCTTCTCATTAACTGTCCTTCGTTTTATGCTTTGTTTCTTCATCTGTTTTCAAGTAGCATGCTATTGAGTATTCTTGAAATTGTAGCATTATTCACATAATCTTGTTATATAGAGAAAAATAGTTAACAAGTATTTTTAACCAAGTCTATTGCTTTTCAAACCACTTCTTCTCCAGCAAGAAGTTATAAAATTTGAAACAGAAAATACGATTTTAAAGAAGAAAATAAAAGTAAGTTTTTTTGTGAATTGATGTTTATCAATAAAAATATTTCCTCTAGTACCTGCTTGTCCTATGTAATAAGCATGACCCAATGATGATAATTCTTTGCAGGTTATTGAAAGCAACATGAAGCAGACCATGGGAAGGATCAGTGAAGAGGGGCAGGAGTAAGTATTGACATCATGATAAAAGAACTAGAGTAGTATCATGCTGTTCTCAAGATCAGTTATTCAAAACTAGATTAGGCTAGACAAACCTTTGAATGGTTCACACTCAGGAATGCTTACATTAAGGACACATGTTGCATCCTTTTTCCGTGCTTTGGAATGCTCACTCTAAGATTTAGACCCCAGTCTGTACTCTTTAGTAATATAGAAATCAATTTATTAAATTTGGAGGTGAAGGTGAATTCTCATGGCCAGGAATCAGGAAAGTAGGGAGGCATGGCTTTATTTTCTCCAATTACATGGCTTTCAGTGATGATACATTTTGAAAAGCCCTATACATACGTTACTCTGAAAATTTTAGTTTAAGAGTAAGTGGCTGATTTATATCATTTGTTTATAACTAAACTTATAATATTGGTATAAACTTATTATTTATATTACAAGCTTATACTTCACACAGTTACTTTTCTCTGAGTTGGTACTATAGCTTGAATCTCAGAATTTGGTATTAAGAGCAATGAAAAACCATATGTTGATTTAAAGAGGGAAAGGCTTTTTTTTTTTTTTTTTTATCAGAGGGAAAGACTTTTAGGTGTAGGTGGCTTGGGCTCAATGACATCATTAAGGAACTAGGGCGCCTCACCTGTCTTCTCTGCTTTCCTTTGAGTGTGTCTGCTGCCTCCTTAGAGTCTCAATATGGCTGTCTTCAGGCATTAACCAGTCCACATTCCATGGATTAAGAAAGGGAAAGGTGAAGGACAGAAGGCAAAGAGCTTCTCAATTTGAGGCTTTCCAGTTTATTCAGGATGGACAATTCTCTCCAGGTGCTCCCACCACATCTCATTGGCCAGCACCATGGGTCAAGGCCACTCTAAGCTGTAAGAGAGGCCAGAGCATGGAGCACCCCACTCTCCAGCTTATGGGGCAGAAAAAGCCATGGGAGAAAGGGATTGGATAGAGTGTTGAGTGAGCCTTATAGGTGGATGGAGGTTTTGCGGTTTCTTATATCATGTAGGATGTTCTTAAAAAGAGGGAATAGAGTTACAAATACAAAACTGGGGAAGCACCTCCCACGGCCTTGGCAATGAGAGTGAATGGACCTAAAGTCTATCATTACGCTCATGGTACACCTACCTTCCCTGTCATACCATATGCTACAGGAGAATACATCTATTTATTTAGAGGATCTGTTACATTCAAGGCCAAAACTCCATACAAATATGTTTTAAAAAAGTAAATGATTACGAAATCTCATCTTGTCTGTTTTTGGGTAAATGTATCTAAAATAGATGTTTATTTTGAAATTTTCTTTCATGCTTAATATATATTTTTCTAACCTATGGTATTCATTTCTTTTGTATTTTAAGGGGCCTTTGGAAATTTATCAAGGAATTTGTAAAATTAGAAGAAATAGAAGATACCTCTCAAGCGACTGAATAAATAGCCAATGAAAATTCTTAACTTCCATGTATTTAGCATGGTTGTTTGCAGATATATATATATATATACATTCATAAAGATACATTTCATTTCTTCAGCTTTAATCTCTAGTAAAATTAATGTTGTGTATGTATCCTGCTCAGAATACTGAAATAAGCACATGTATACATATGATTAGTTTCTACTGTTGCATATATATTTATAGCAATACTAGTTCTTAACATATGTTTTACTTTCATTTAATAATGTTCCACTGTGGAAAATATTTTTGATTATTTGCTAATAAAGATTTCAGCATGGCTTGAACACAGCTTAAATTTGTTTATTTGTCAACACGAGTTTATATTCTATGCATTTAATAAAATTTGATATTTAATTAATTTTAATTTCATTTAATAGTCTTTACTGATCGGAAATGATACAGTGCCCCACAAACATTATGCTAGCATTGCACTTCGTACTGCACGTATCTCAGCTGATTGTGATCCTGATGACGACGTTCTGGCTTGGGATTTTTATTTATCCCCACTTTGCCTCTGATCTAATCTAAACATTGCCTATATAGGGTGTTTTATTTTTTTTGAGACAGTCTCACTCTGTCTCCCAGGCTGGAGTGCAGTGGCACAATCTTGGCTCATTGCAACCTCTGCCTCCTGGGTTCAAGTGATTCTCCTGCCTCAGCCTCCTGAGTAGCTGAGATCACTGGTGCGTGAAACCGTACCTGGCTAATTTTTGTATTTTTAGTAGAGACAGGTTTCACCATGTTGGCCAGTCTGGTCTCAAACTCCTGAACTCAAGTGATCCTCCCACCTCAGCCTCCCAAAGTGCTGGGATTACAGGGGTGAGCCATCATGCCTGGCCTATAGGGTGATTTTGAAGATCAAATGTAAGTGGTAAAGTACATATATGAGAGATTGGATCCTAATTTGGAGTAGTAGAGTTAGAGGTGAGAGAGACAGAGAAAGAGACAGAGACAGAGACAGAGACAGAGAGAGAGAGAGAGAGATTGTCTTTCTACAGATCAGGAGGTCACTGTCAGGGAGGTGTGCTCCTCAGATTCTCTTTAAGGTCCATCAGTTATTCCTGAAGCATGACTCACTCTGCTTTTAGATATAAAATTTTGGCAGCTACTTAAAATGTTTCCCATACATAGAAATCAACTGGACTTTATTAGCATACATTGAGTTCTCTGTGTTCCAGTTGCTTTCTATTCGTTATTCATGTCCACTGGGTACCATCTCTCTCATTATAAAGGGGAGAAAACCGAAATATGAAGTGCTGAATTGATTTGCTTCAACTGCTTCATAAACGATGGAGCCATGGTGAGGGTCATGGGGCTGGAAATTTATTTTTGTTGATTGGCTATTATTCTGGCTAAAGTCACAAAAGCACAGTTTTCCAAGAGATCCGAAGAACGTTATAGAAAAGCTTTGTTAAGATCAAAGGCTTGGGGTAGGTGCTTTGATGTGTGCATTCTTGAAACTCATAAATGTTCACACTGAAAACAGATGAGTAATCCTACCATTCATTCATTTATTTATATACATTCATTATATCAACATTCAAGTATATTTCAGTTGCCAGTAGTTGGGAGCATAAAAATTAGGAAGACATGGTTCCAATCCTTGGGGAGCTTAAAGTCTGTTGTACAGACCTGTGAGAATAACAAAAGCAAAAAAGGAAGTGATAAAGCAAAACGCATGAAGAATGCAGAGAGGCAATCTCTTACCTACTGCTGGAAGAAATGAGAATTGATAAGGATATTTTGGAAAGTAATTTGACAACCAGCTGTGTGGATCCCTGAGTCTGTGCGTGTGTTCCCAATATAGCCCAGCCCTTCTGGCCCTTAAGCAGGATGATGTAGCTTGTTTGGGTCAATATAGGTTCATTGTGATAATGCATTACAAGAAAGAGGGTGAGCTTATACAGACAGATCAGCTTATTTGTAAAAGGAAGTAAAAAAACACAGAAAGCCAGAAATTTGGATCTCTCGGTGTGAAAAATACTACTTTTAGCCCACAGATTTAAGGGTTGAGATTTTTAAACACCCGTGATCTGATTAAATGTCTGAAAGAATAGATTACAGGTGGGGCCTTTCCACCAGAGCTCTGCAGCCTAGGGAGGGGGTCTTGGACCTAAGAGTGAGAGATGAGAAATGGGAATGGAAAGCAAAGAAAGGGATCTGAGAGCTTTGCTAAGTGAGCTGTGGACACATGGAACTGACTGTGAGCAAACGGACTGGAAGCCTACTGAGTTTTTGACGGAGTTCTACTGCCAAGGAAATCAAGGTAAGAAAAGCCCATTACTGTCCTCAACCTAAAACAATCCTTCGTCCCCGACCTTCCATGAGGATGAGGAGGAAGGAAGTTGAGGAATCTGTATGTCTCCTGCGGGGAGTGAGGTGTGTTCCCCAAGGCCCATTTCACTTTCGGACGTATTCCAGGTGGAGACAGGAGAAGCCCAGCCCAGAGACTCGGACAATGGAGAGGGTGCTGCGTCCAGAGTCACATCAGGGCTTAACCAAGGAGCACTGACTGCTTGTTGGTAGAGAACCCAACAGTGTTTCTCTGCAGGGCTTTAGAAATTTTACAGACCAAGAACTACTTTGTTGTGGTGATGGGGATGGTGGTGGTAGAGACAGAGGTTATGGTGATGGTGGTGGTATGTGTTTCTAGGTGTGGTGTGTGTTTCTGTGTGTGGTGTGTGTGTGTCTTATGGTGCTGGTGGAGATTACAAGTAGAGAGAGCAGGAGTTGAAAGTAGAGATATCAGGTGGAGGAGAGAAGGAGTTAGTGGTACTGATTGTAAGTGGAGAGGAGCAGAAGTGAAAGGTAAAGATAGAAGCTGGAAGGGGTCCAGGCCGAGGTGGCTCACGCCTCTAATTCCAGCACTTTGGGAGGCCAAGGGGGGCAGATCACTTGAGGTAAGGAGTTTGAGACCAGCCTGGCCAATATGGTGAAACCCTGTCTCTACTAAAAATACAAAAATTAGCAGGGCATGGTGGCAGGTGCCTGTAATCACAGCTACTCAGGAGGCTGGGGCAGGAGAATTGCTTGAACCCAAGAGGCAGAGGTTGCAGTGAGCCAAGATTGTACCATTACACTTCAGCCTGGGTGACAGAGTGAAACTCTGTCTCAAAAAAAAAAAAAAAAAAAAAAAGAAAGAAGAAGCTGGAAGGCAGAAGTTGGATGAGATAGAGAAAGTAGTTGGGGGAGTAGGAGTTGAAAGTGGAGAAGGAGTGGAAGGCAGAGAGAGAGCAGGACTCACTGCTGGCTCGGATCTGAAGCGTGAGAGCATAAAATCAAGGGTGCCTTGGGGCTTTGTGTCTGAGCACTGAACTGGAGCTGACGTTGGGAAGTGCTGATTTTAGGAGATGGTGGAGATCATGGGTGGGAGGGAATCATGAGCATTTAGTTAATTTGTAAAGATCCTTATTGTTGCTTTAAAATTAAGTTGTATTTCACCATTTTAATTCAATATCTTATTACCAATACTGATTGTCTTAAAATATTGTCTTAAAATATGAAGCCATGCCCAATTAATTCAAATCACACTTTAAATGTACTCTACCAGGGAAATAATCCATAATTCACTTAAAAATAACATACTAGTGATGTTAATACTAGCAATTTAGTGTTGATCTCTTTGAAGTTCATACTTTAAAATAATGTTCTGTTTTATGTATGCCATGAGACTCAGCATCTAATGCCATTTATATTCTCATAAAAGGATCAGTTTATTAAAACTACAGGTGAACTTCTCTCAAACTATTAAAAGTGTTTCAGTGTCATAGAAATGGAAATACTATGTTCAATTTATTTAAATTTTTCTTCAAAACTGAACATCTTAAAATATGTTAGCTATTTTTTTCTTTCTTCATTGAATTTTCAGGCATATAGCAGATACTGTACTAAATCACTGTTTTTAATTGACTGCCCATACGTGTCATGCCCATTTGTTTTATGGGTTTTTCATTTTAATTCTATGCAGCTTGGGAGATTTACATTGTGTAGAATTCAGCAAATACAAATAATTAAATTAGATGTGGAATAAGAGCAATTTAGACAATTGGATTGAAGTTTCCTAAGCAATCATAAATCTGCTTACCTGTGAGTATTATATCAGATGCGCAGTATTAGTTGCTATTGTATTTCTTTAATCAAAACAGCAAGAAAGAAGAAATTTGTTCTGTTTGTGATTTTAAAAGAAAGCTACATTTTTTTTCCTAACGTTCATGCTTCATGCCTGCTCGATGGTGCTATGATGTATTTATGGATATGAGAATTTTCACTCTAATAGAGCAGGATAGTTGCCCGGCTTAGCTGGCTGGGGTACAACCAACGATGTCTGTGATTCTGGCCAGCCAGCTGGTGAGTGGGTGTCAGCATTCATCAGGAGGAACAGGAGAGTAACATGTTCCTAGGTCTCAGAACTATTGAACCTATTGAAAGCATCTGACTGACCCTTATGTCAGAAGAATCATGTCCTCATTTTACAGAGGAGAACATTTTGGCACATCCACGGGTGGCTGAAGGCCCAGGAATCAGAGGTAGCCCAGCAAGGTGGACCCAGGTCCTTACTACAACTGGACACAAATCACATGTGTTCCCTGTGAGGGTCATGGGTAAAGGGGTTCATGGACAAAATATGTCAGTGGAGGCCAGTGATGCGAAAGAGAGGTCTTTTCACCTCTCCTTCACTGTAGGGACACCTCCATGGCCCCACGTCAACTGTGCAGCCTCGATCTCCCACACTGACCTTGATTCTTACTTTGTGGAAGGCAAGTACTGAGGCCATCTGAGAGGAGTTTTCTTTCTTATGTGCCTTCTCTTCCACTCTCAATAATCCGTCCCCATATTCACATGGGCCTCCTGCCTTCCACTTTCCACGTAACATGATCATAATCTCGCAGTGCCATCCTCACCGCTCTAAAGACACTGACAAGGTGTTGTTATTATTCCAATTCCACACTAGGAAACCGAGGCCCAGGGAGGTGAAGAACTTGCCTCAGGTCGTGGAACTTGGAGAGGCTGAGCCAGGCACTCTAGTTACACTCAGCTGCTCTTAAGGACATCCTGTGTGGCCTCTGGAGCCCTGAGCCTCCTATCAAGGCAGATCTCTTCCCTCCATTGTTTACACTGAGGTTTGCTCTTGAGGTTGTATATTCTGTGGGTT